ATTTATCCATAAATTAATAAATATTAATTCTGCTGTTAAAAACAAATAAAGAAGCCGTGTAGGAGAGTAGTTATTATGTGCAAACAGTGAGAAACTCTATATTTGCGCAGTGTGTGCATGTCAAAAAAATTTATTCCAATTTGAAGCTTGTGACATATAAACGCGCACATCAACCCGATCACTTTATTTAGTGTTCATGTAAAAACACTGCATTCGGATTCATCAATCGGAATGAATTCAGTCTGATTGAACCAAAAATTGTGCATGTAAACGAAGCTGTTCTGTGGTCGTCTGTGCAGCCAAAGACAGAATGTTTTGCTCAAACTTTCGCCATGGCATTAGAACTGGTACACCATTGTCCCTTGCAAAAACACAATGATGGCGCAGATGGTGAAAACTTGCAGATTAAGGGGCGGTAATATTATAATGAGATCCCTTTGCAATGTCACCAAGGGAGCGAAATCAGACGCGCTCGTTTTTCCAGACGCTTGCAGAAAAAGGCTTACCAAAACAAAGTTACTGGGTTAATCTTTTTCACGTTTCCTTGGTTGGTAGATGCACCGGGGACCTGATTATCATGTGCAATGACGCAGAAATAATGTAATGATGTATGACGCGCAGAACCAGCGGTTCTTCCTTTTGAATAAAGTGTTGGGTTAAATTCGTGACATACAACAACTCAAAAAAAGAAAAGAAAAGCTAAACATGTCACGTCTTTGGAAAGCTGAGATTCTTGTGATTATAATGATGCAATTAGATCATTAGATCATGCATTATAAGATACAATCAACACAGCAGGTACAATCAGTGTCTTTGTCAGACCGCTAACAAAGCTTCATGCTGTGATCCCATTGTGTTTTCCGGCTAATAGCTCCCAGCTATAGTCATCTGGAGGCATCTGTTTACCAAAAAAAAAAAAATGTAGGTGGAATGTTTTTTTCCTTTTTCAGTGTGTTCAAAGTTCTGTTACTCAATACCAGTAAGACTTACTGGTTGTTCTGTTTAGGAACAACCCTCAAGAGTGTTACCTTTCAAAAGAGACCAAAACCATGCATATACTCCAAATGTTTCAAGAACAGCATGCAATTTACTTTGGGTATGCTTTTTTTCGGCAAATTTTACAGGAATGCTAAATGGTTAAGTATTAACTGCTATGTGCTTTACAAAAAAGGAATAAAAAGACTGAAAGCTCCTAAACTATTTGTAATGGTTACATTTTAATAACATGTCAAATCCACATTAAAATCTCACAGAAGTGGGATCATAAATTTTGCTGCTTCGGCTCAAATTAGTCTACAACAAAGTAATTTTTGCAGGCGTGCTCAGTAGAGCTGGGCGATATAGCTAAAAAATGTATCAACGATATAATGTTTCATATCGTTCGGTATCGATAATTATTGAAAATTTTTATAACCTTTTTTAAAACAAAGAGCAATAGAAAAAAATGTTTTAATTTAACCACTGTATTTTTAAATTAACCCAATTTATTGAGACAAACAACAAATATTTTTTGTTTAACATTAAAATGCAACAACGTCACATCATTATTACCGCATCTCGTGCGCCACTGATGACGCTCCCTGACGCACTCCTAACATTCAAATCCAAATGTTTATTTTAAATAAGGCAGGCACAGCACTGATGTTCGTGTTTGTGTGTGCTGTCTGCGTCGCTCATAGCACATGCCTATATCGTGCGCTATATCGAACATTTTTAATATCGTTATCGAAGAGGGTGTACCATCGATAAATATCGATACCGTTTTATCGCTAATGTTTGCTAATTACAATTTTTATCTCATTATTTTTAATCTCACTGCAATTCAAAAGTTTGGGGTCAATAATTTTATTTATTTATTTTTTTTTTTTGTAAAGAAATGAATCGTTTTATTCAACAAAGATGCATTAAGGGCACATTTTAACTTTTATTCATCAAAGAATCTTTGAAAAAATGTATCATGGTTTCCACAAAGAACAGCGCACAGTTGTTTTTGACATTGATAAAGTACAATTTAAAATATATTCAAATAGAAAGCAGTTATTTTAAAATGTAATATTTCAAATAATCACTTTTTACTGTAATTTTTTTAAAATCAAATAAATGTAGCCTTGGTGAGATTAAGAGATTTCTTTTAAAAGCGTTGAAAAACCTTACTGACCCCAAACTTTTGAATTGTAGTACAGTATATAATTTACATTTGTCTAATGTCTTCCACCAACTTCAATGGATTTTTTTTTTTACTGAGCTTTAGATAATCTTACATAAGTATGCAACACACTTATATTGACACACGAGATATTGAAAATGAGCCAGTAAAGCCTTAAAGGAACATTGAGAACATTGTAATGGTTTACTGTAACTGCACCTATATCATGTTTCTCTTGTCAGTGTTACAAAGACTTGGGTCAGAGGAGTCAAGCCCAACAGATGTGTGACGCTGCCTCTGCAATGAGCATTGAGACTAATGAGGTGTTCTTCTTATTCTGTTGAATCAGATTTATTGTAGGTTGAGTCTCTTGTCGTTGTAATTATTTTTTTTCTTTTTTCTTTGAAGGATGAGGAAGCACAGAAGGAATTGGACGGTCTTGTCGCATCACTTTAAGGCCCAAACAAAAGGAAACAAAAGCTGTCTGTCTTTGTGTTCTGTCTCTTTGAACTGGACTGTAGCTGTTTACCCACAAACCAACATATGAACTACTAATGTTGGCCAGGCCATGTGATTTACTGTGCCTCTATTAAAGGGGAGCCCAGCAGCAATATTTTGTTTATTTTTATTTTATGCACAAAATACTGTATATGTTTTGCAGGACAATTTCTTTTAATTCTTTTTGACTTTTTTTTTTTTCTTCCCCAAGACATTTTAGACATTAACAGTAACAGTTGCAAATACACAGCGTGGCACCATGACCATCAGTGGCTGCTGTTAGATTGAATTTAGAATAAATTTCAATTTCATTAAGGAATAGTTTGCCCAAAAATGAAACTTTGCTGAAAATGTACTCACCCTCAGGCCATCCAAGATGGAGATGAGTTTTCATTGGAACAGATTTGGAGAAATTTAGCATTGCATCACTTGCTCACCAATGGATTCTCTGCAGTGAATGGGTGCCGTCAGAATGAGAGTCCAAACAGCTGCTAAAAACATCACAATGATCCACTAATAATCCACACGACTCCAGTCCATCAGCAAAAAGCTGCTATTTGTAAGAAAAAAATCCATCATTTAGGCACTTGAACATTTCCATCGTTTTGGGCCAAAATACAAGTCCATAATCCAAAATACTGCATCCTCCAGTGAAAGAATCCATCCTCTGTTGTTCTCTCACATCAAAATCCACTGACATATTCGTTTAGAACTGTTGTGGATTGTTTACATGTAAACAGTGCTTCATCTGTGCATATTTCTCTCCTGATTCAGAAGAGATGACTTTTTCACCGGAGAAAGCAATATTATAGGTAGAGGACCTGTATTTTAGCCATAAGTGATGGTTTGAAGTTAAAAATGTCTTAATGATGGATTTGTTTCTTACAAAAACAGGTTTTCACTTCACAAGATGTTAATTGATGGACTGGAGTCGTGTGGATTATTGTGATGTTTTTATCAACTGTTTGGACTCTCGTTCTGACGGCACCCATTCACTGCAGAGTGGTGAGCAAGTGATTTAATGCTACATTTCTCCAAATCTGATAAAAAAAAATAAAAATAAATAAATCATCTACATCTGGGATGGCCCGAAGGTGATTAAATTTTCATTTTTCAAACAGCTCGACTATAAAGTTCTCTTTTGGATATCTAGTTTGATAAATGTCTAAAGCAAAGCTTTGAAGAACGTTGGCACATTTGATGAGTTCTTCCAAAAAAAGAGCTGCTGATATGAAACTGTGTGCAAATGTGTAATTCTGTCAAATATTTTAAACTTTTCATAGCATGATCCTCCCTCTAGAAATGCAGTCTTTTGCCGGTTTTATTAGGGACACTCAAACAATAATATATAATAATAATTATAATAATATATAATTAATATAGTGAGCAGACAACTTGAATGACTTGTGTAGATTTTAATCCATATACATGATGAATGCTAAATCCCTGACCAGCGCTACATCAGAGAAATTACGGGGACCAAGTGGAAGGTCATTTTCCCCCTCATGTTATTAATAATATTGTATTAATATAATTTGTTGGTGTCCAGCATTATGAATGTAAGCAGTTTTTATATGTTGAAATGATGGCACTTGCTTTATATGGTACATTTATTTATTGGTCTTCACTGAGATTTGGTGATTGTAACGGCGCATATGACGATCATCGCTTCATCTCTGCTGCTCAGTGCAATACACAATAAGGTGAATTCAGTCTGTGTTGTATGTTGATCATAGTTCGTTTCTTATGCTATTGGTGTGGCATAATTGATAACTGTTATATATCATTTCTGCAGCATTAGTGGCACCGAACAGAACAGCAGTCTACTCCAAAACCTCTGAATGGCAGCTGTTATAATTGTCATTATTTTTATTTGTGCAATTCTGTTTAGTGGGACAGAAATTATACACTTCACTTTTAACTTCATAAATGTAGGTCAGATAGTTTTCAGTCAGTATTATGCCTGTACACTCTTGTCCAGGAAGAAGCCAACAATAGGGAATGCCAGGAAGACGTGGAAGAAAAAGAGCAGATTTTCAGTATATTTAGTAACACTACCATTTAAAAGACAACTGTTCATCCTCAAGAACTGAAAACCATCTTATAGTCTCTCATTACATAGTGTCTGCAAGTCTGTTCTCTCACATACAGCACAGAAATAATGCCTGCAGGACATGACCTGGATTCCTGGAGGTCTCTTAGATCTGCTGTTAATGAAGACTTCTAGAACTGAGAGCGGAGTAAGCAATGAGACTGTCAGAAACTTGGTGAATGCTGAGATCTATGTAAATTGGAGGCCAGAAGGTGAAGGAGATCTACCATAAGTATTTCAAAATCAGTTGCAGATGCAGCAGTTTTTAGGATTCAGTGCTTAAATGACACTACTAATTGTATTTCAAATGCAATTTGGATGCTTTCGTTGTATTTTGATTGTGTTTGGGTTGTCAGAATGCAACTTGATGGCATGTTTTAAAACTAGGGCATTTTGAAAATGGCCATTTAGAATTCAAGTAAGCATTACGTGACGTATTGAAAGCAATCATCGAGCATACTGAAGACTGACTAAAATATTAAAATATTTTTGTTTATTGAAATAAAGCTGAGATCAAATAAAAAACAAATATGTATAATAAAATAAATATTGCCTTGGCAGTTTATTCAATTATTTGTATTTCCAGTGTTTCCTTTATTTATTTAAAAATAAACATAAAACTTAAATCAAAATACAATAGACCTATGTAGTAATATTTAAAAAAAGAGAGAATACAAATTACAAAAACGTAAAATGAAACTATAAAAAATATGAAAATAAAAGTTAATTCAAAATATTAATAATAAAACTATAATAGTATATATTATTATTAATGTTGAACACCGTTGTGCTGCTTAATAGTTTATGGAAACTGTGCAAAAACAAAATCCGGATTATTTGATGAATGGAAGGTTCAAGGGAACAGAATTAAAAAAAAAAAAGATTTATTTGTTTGTTTGTTTAGAATTTGAATTAAGGCTTTCATTTCTTTCCAAAAACAACAACAACAACAACAAAAACGTATTGACCACAAACTTGACAAAATTACTAAAAATGAAACTAAACCTAAAAACTGAAAATATTAAAATAAAAGCAAATTAGAAATTATAATCAAACTATACTTTAATAAAACTATACCAAAATAACACTGTTAGTGTTACATTAAGAGAGCGAAGTGATTTAAGCATTTCATATTGCATCTTAGTTTTTATTTTATTTTACTACTAATTATTTTGACATCTGACTTTTTTAAGGATGCACTGACTCCCTTGTCTCCTTGGTGAAAACGCTTCTGCCACAATCCTACAATTTTAGAAAAAAAAAAAAAAAGGTATACAAAACTGTCACTGGGGTGGTACCCTTTCAAAAGGTACTTGTATGTTCCATTTAGGGCTAAATAAGGTACAGACATGTACCTTTTAACTTTTGTACCTTAAGGTACCATCCCAGTGATGGCTCTGTAGCTTTTTTCAAAGAGTGCACTGTTAATCTGACAATAGTGAAGCGTGTTTTCTTTTCTTCAGCAGGGCCTGGAAGGGGAGCAGGCGGCTGCTGGCGTATCAGTAATCAGTTGGCTTTATCTAGACTTGTCACGCACTCAAAGCTCGGCTGGCTATGAACCTCAGGCTCGATCAGAACAGGATGTGCTGGGTAAGCAAGATAAAGCACTTCACAGGGATGAGTATGTCCTACATACTTTCCTTCTATTTTAAATGCCCAATTTAGTGGCTGCGTGCACAATAAAGTTAGAATGTTATTTTTACTTGCCACTATTTTAAGGGCATCTTATTTGAATACAACATTAAAAGAAAAGTTTTGTTTTACAGAATCACATTGTGTCTAGGCGTTGCAACAGGGTGAATTCACTGCCAAAACTAATTTGATTACAAATGACCGCAATATTATACTGCATGTATTATCATAAAAGCTTGAGTAATTATATCATTTTTTGGACTTATACATTTATTGAGTGTTTTATATATATTATAAACCACTACATTTAATCACAAAAACTGTAAACTGAATGCAGTTTAGAATTTACAGAGCAGCCAAATGTCAGAGCTTATATGAAGTAGAAAAATATAATATTATATGTTGGTATCACATAATAGGAACTACATATCAAACTTACATATCAATCTTTTACATATAAAATATAGTAGATCTAATACAGATCAGCAGTCTATTAACAAGTGCTATTACAGTCCAAAAATATATTACAGCAGATTAAACATCGCTATTACAGTTCAAAAATATATTGCAGAAAGAAACGATCATAACATGTATTATACATGTTAGTTAACAAACCCTGAATTTCCCCTTCAGGATTTCCCTAACTAAGGGACCTGAGGGGCACAAAATGTATTTCCTTTCACCTACACAACATCATGTGCCAGATATGAAATATCACATTCAACTTATGAGGATCTCCAGACAATATTTGATTGGGAAGGTTGTTGCGGTAACACAATGAAAATGAACTGCTTTTAACCCGCCTATGTTTATTTTAATTATGCTAAGAAGTCTATAATAATAAGGCACAGACTTCAGCAATGCTGTAGTGAGAATCAGGAAATATTATCAAGCAGGACAATAAATTGCTGTAAGATTATACTATACAAATTTCTCATTTTATGAGCTTTATATAAGGACGTTAACAATGCAGCATAGGGCTAGTTTGAGCTAAAGTACCCTAAGTAACAACAAGTCAACATGAAATGTAAATCAACCCTATCTATTTTTTAATGCATGATTGAGTGTTGCATATTAGTCCAAATTAATTATTTTTGTCTGTAATCTTTTATCAAAATGTCATGACTTAATGATTTTTCATGATCCAGTCAGTTTCAAATAGATAAAATCAATTACTGCACCACAGTTTTTTCTCATCGAATATCTTGTTTCATTCAGAAATACGTCATGGAAGCAAAATGGGTTGCGAACAGCTTTTCACGTTGACTTTAAAACACTTAATAAAAATGTTGGCATTAAAAGACTGAAGCACGATGATAGACAATCTTCTATAACTGAGACTAAATGTATATTTGCTATAGAAGAACTAGAATTAGTATCAAACTTCTTGACTGAATAATGCTATGCATGTAAATGTCTCTTAGAATTCTAGTCTTAGAAACCAACTTTTATTTCTCTGAATAAACCATGCAGTGTCCTGTTGTGTAGCTTCTGCTTTTCTACTCTCGCATAATATACCATAAATCAGTGCATCATTTTTATTCCTGTAGCTCATTCTGAGCCAAAAAAAAAAGTTTTCGCCTGAGTATGATGTCAATAAATATATTGATATAATGCATATATGAGAGAGTCTTCAGTGTTTGTTTTCTTAGCCACCTTCATTTGGCAAAGTATTTCAGCTGTGTGCTTTGATTTCACTTCAAACTTGAGGTCTCTGTCTCATTTCTGTAGGAGTTTGAGATGTTCCTACCAAGCTCTCCAGCAGTTCTGTGCTGTCACGGGGTGTGACAGACACTTTAAAGGCTTTGGGTTTAAGCGTGAGCCCATACAGAAAGTCCATGCTGGGAGTCCTTTCTGCTGTAAAACTACACTGATGGACCAGCAAGGAGGTGAAGAGGAAAAGCTGTATCTTGGACAGGTCTTCTCCAATGCATCTACGCTTCCCCACGGAGAAGATCAGCACGTTGGTGGTTAAGTCTTTGTTGAGAGCTCCATCCTCATCCAGGAAGCGCTGTGGGTTGAATTCCTCTGGTTGGTCCCATTTGGTCGGGTCATGGTTCAAAGACCACTGGTTGACGAAAATGACGGTATTTTTAGGGATGGGATAACCATTGATGGACGTGTCTGTGGTTGTGCTGTGGGGAATCGTTACAGGGATGAACGAGGTGAATCGCATGACTTCGTAGATGAAAGCCATGACATATGGAAGATGAGGCTGGTCTGCGATGGTTGGAAGGCGACTGCGATCCGCTACTTTGTCAACATCCTCCTGAAGACGTTTCTGGACTTCTGGATACCTGCAATGTAAGTGAAGACCAACATTTTCAACTTACTAAGTTCCCCCAATCACCAAGGATTGAATTGAATATGGATATTGAAAACACTCCTGTTGCAAATAGAAGGACTAAACAACATTTTTACATTTGGTTGGTGATTTAAATGAAATTTTATTCCATATCCCTTCTATTTAAAAATAAAACAGGCCTATCATCTCATCTGTACTAGTATCCTGCATGAAGCAGTCATTGTGTTTGAGTTTCACAGAGTGGCCTACATGTTTAAAAGTGGTAGTGGGTCAGATTTCATTTTGTGTTGCTGTAACCTGCCCTCATTATTTGCTGCCAATACCTGCACGGAAGAGTTACATAACACATGAGAGCTGTTTGCTGTTATTGAGATCTGTTCGTCTCTTGAACAATCTGTGAGTTGTCGCACTGCACATTTAAAGTGCCAAAAAATTACAGTGCTGTCATCATTTGCTCATTTTCATGTCATTCTAAATCCATCATTTTTTCTTTATGCTGAGCAGCATAAAAGATGTATTGCAGCGGCTCTTTTTCATGCAATGAAAGTGTTTATTTATGGTGTCAAAAAAAATTTGACAAGCTTAAGTCTGCTAAGGGTTACTTTTGTTAACTTTTAGGAGTACACTAGATGAAGGTCAACAGACCTGAGTTAAAAGTAATAAAAGTCCCATTATGATTTCCTAAGCAGTTTGAACATCCTTCAGTATTTCTTCTTTTGTTTAAAAAAATAAATAAATAAAAATTGTGGAAAATGATATAATTCTAATTTTGTATTAATTTTATAATTTTACATATTAAAAATTTAATAATATACAAAAATAAAACGTGTGATTGAAAATCACGCTGAAATGATTAATTATTCGAACGACTTGAAGATGAGTAAATGTCGTCTTTATGCATTTGTGGTAGACATAAAGCATTACCTGACTAGTAGCAGAATGATCCACTGTAGAGCCGTAGATAGAGTGTCTTGACTGGCCCCAAAAATATCTGAGATGGTCGATGGCACGTACTCTTTATCCAGAAAGACCCCCGGCCCCCTTGAGAGCCCTTTATCCAGAGCAACGATGAACGCATCAGTCATGTCACGGACGAGGCTCAGTAAAATAGTCTTGCGGTGCTCCGCCACTTTGGAATGAATGAACTCGTTAAACTCATTGTTGAGTTCTTTAAACTGGTCAAAGAGAGTTTTGATTGGGTTTGGGAAGTACTGCAGCCAGGGCATCACGTCCACGATGCTTCCAGCTCCGACTGTCTTGGTGAACTGCTCATTTCTGCCCACCACCTGCAGGAACTCCTCATCATCATACGCGTATCGGTTCCCGAAGCAAACGGCGCTCATGGTGTTCGCCACCGACACCACCACGTACCGGTGAGGTTCGAAGTACTGCTGCTCGCGGGTTTTATTCAGAAACAAACCGATGAGCTCTCCGATCTCGCTCACGATGTGCTTCTCAAAAGTCTGCTTGGTGTGAATGTTGGCTGTGGAGAACGTTCTCACGGTGCTGTGTGCGATCTTCCGATGCAGTTTCCACCACTGGCTGTAGTTACCGAACGCCAGGCTTTTCCCACTGGACACGAACCGGAAAGAAGCGAAATCGGGTCTGCCGGCGAAATCGACACCTTTTTTAATTAGCGCCTCTTTAATTGCGTCTCCGTTGAGAACCACCACGTTCCGGCTGCCCAGTTTGATCTGAAACACGTCGCCGTACTTCTGAGCCATCCGGGTGAAGTAAAAGTGAGGTGAGGAACCGAGCTGAGCGGCGTTACCGATGACCGGCCACGGGAACGGACCCGGTAACTGCCGTGGCCCGGATCGACGCCAGAACATGAGCATTAGTATAGCAGCATAACATAGCAGCGATAGTAAAACACTCCGCGCTGACAGTTGAATGAAATCACCCAGAACCGCCTGGAAATCCATCATCGAAGTATTTGCAAGTCTCAAAATCAATGCAGATTCACTCCGAAATGATCAAACACCTGTCGAGCATCAGATCAGTGCTGAAGTTTCCAGCGCTCGCGGCGTGTCTGAGTGACTCATATGAAACCAGAGAGTATAAAGTCTCAGAGTAGTGTTGTGATGGTCGGTCTAAGGTCAGATGAGTTTATTCAAGAATGTATGCACGACTAAATAACATCACTGAGAGTCTCCTCCTTTACACACTCCTCTCCCTCCCTCTCTCTCTCTCTCTCTCTCTCTCTCTCTCTCTCTGAATGCGTGACTGAATGTTTTTCAAAACTTCAGAAATGTGCGTGAGAACAGATCATGTGGAGAACGATGTTGTGTGCTGAGACAATGGATCATATCTTACCTTTTATAAGGAACTAATGTTTGACAGGACAGTAATAGCCTATACTTCCGTTATGCTTCATCACTGTGGAAAATAAAATAGATAAGCTAACGTGATGGAAAATTATGCAATGATGGAGATTTTTTGATAGTATTTTCCTCTTTCTCTGTTTCCACCTGTTGCCACTAGGAGGACCCCATTCCCAACCGGCTCTGAATTACATGACACTCAAATTAATTATTAAAAGGAAAATAAAGACCTACATTTATTCGTTTGTAATTCTATAAATGTGGTTCTTCGTATTTTATTATTGCAGACTACTTGGGATACCGGAATATCACACAATGTTTGATATGAAAACATGTCATGATGGTCACGATCCACTGATTTCACAAAGAAGATGCAGTTTCAAATTGTGCTTAAACAGGCAAACAACACCGAGTGAGCCATCTTTGAAATTCGCTTCATAATTGATATATATTTTTCAAAACAGTTTAAATGACATCAGGCTATTTGGTTGTTTGTTTAACATATTTTAAAAGAAATATAAAATATTAATGTAGTTAATGTAACTAGCAAATGTAAAAAAATAAAAAAATAAAATCACTACACATAAAGATATATTAATAAAAATGAAAAAGTAGGCCTAAGTATGCGGAGTGAGTGCAGCGTCATCTCGTGTGTTCAGTACCACGGACAGCGCGCGAGCGCTTCTGCGCGGATTACGTCACGTCAAATCACTTATCAGGATTTGATCCCCAGAGAAAGACTGACTCTTTACAGCAACCAAGACTTAAAAACAAGTTCAAATGAGCTATTATATAGAATAAAATAACAATAACAGTAAGTTATTTTTAAGACACTGTGCATCAAAAATTGGATTCAACGTTTAGACATACTGATACTTTTATTATTATTATTATTTTTTAATATAATTTATTATTGTCCACATTCTAAAATAATAGTAAAGTCATCAAATAATGAGTTCACATGTATGCTTGACATCTGTTAGCTCCTTTTAATTCGCTATCCGGCCAAATATACGCTTTAAAATGAAGGAAATTGATACATATGTAAGTAGCAAATATTGTAGTTTTATAATGTTGAATTATTATTATTATTATGATTTGTATTATTAAAATATTGCGTATATATATGTGTCTCTGTCCATTTTTGTTTGAAGTTCCTGCTAATAGAAAAAAAACAGGACCTGTGAACTCATATCAATAAATCGAATCATTCGGCCAAGTTTTGGGACCTTGCGGACACACACACACACACACACACACACACCCCTACCTCTACACCCCAAAACAAGCTCAATTTATTCGTTTAGTTGGTTTGCAACTTTGCATTAATCTTTATAGATATTTATACCCTTTTCAATGTTCCCTCTATTATTTTTTTTTCTTGCTGAGCAAAACGTTTCTCAATTGGGCGGACATTTCGGCCACCCGAGCAAAAACATTCTTTATTTCCAGACCTGTACAGCACACACACAAAAATGTGCGTAACTTTTAACTTTAATGTGCTATATATATTTGATTTGATCCTTGATGTTACTAAATGATGCATATTTTAGATTGCCATGGAAAAACATTTTTACAGTGCTGTGTTACCAAGAAATTCTATTAAAAATAATAATAAAAAAAATCTCAAGCAGAACAGTTAAATTCTTTATAATAATATAATATAATATAATATGAAAACATGAAGCAGATATTGCTCATGTGTGTGACTGTAAATGTCTCTGAGTTTTGTTACTGTTCTGTGCCCATCCTCCTCTATTTCCAGCACCTAATCAAGCCGCTCTTTAAAACATGATGACGTTTTATTTCACATGTCATTTTTTTTGCGTTAACTCTCGTGTTGAGCTATTTCGTCCACAACCATTAAAGTATTCGATTTCTACAGCGACTCATTCGGCGCACACCATTCTCTTTCTATGAAGCCTGTAAACCTCATTCACCGGTTCTAACTCTATAGCGACACAAACTCTATAGCCGTTTGCCCAAGCATTGCATTTATTTCGTATTCACTAGAATTCAATCAAATGGCTTTCTCAACTCATTTTTGCGTCTGTCCTGTGCGCGGCATATTATTTCTTCTGCGCGCAGGTTAGAGGGAACATATTATTATTATTATTTTAAATATGCTTGTTGTAACATTTTTTTCCTTTTATAGTCCTTAAAACCAGACCTTATAGAATAAATATACCTTAAAATAGACCTGTAAATAGACCTTATAGAATTTCTAAACTGTCTTATGACGCTACCCTGACTAATGCCTATTAAAAAATCTGGGTAATTAGTGATATTTTTGCTTAACATGCTTACAATCTATGAAGATATTTGCATTTATTTATTTATTCTGTGCTTAATTTGTTTCTTTCTTCTCTGTTAGTTCTCTCATGTTTGGAACAACATAATTCCATGTATAGATGGATTTTCTTTGACATATTATCAGTGCTTCTGTTTTGTTTTTTTTCTAGTTATGGTCTCTACACCACTTCATTTTTTAGGAAAACTGGAAAATGTGGACTTGTGGTCTCCCTGTGAACAGACTCCAGACCCCCAGGCCTCTTTATTACATCAAAGAGCCAGACCATGCTGAGACAGGCCCTGACACACACACATGTGGTCCAGGTGTTTCCAGGTAATTGTAAAGCTGTGTGCTGTGATTTTTATGTGTTTTATATAAAGCCAGTGCCGGTTTGACAGTCTGCATTCTGTGAAACTCTATGTACATCACATAGATCATACGGTGTAAGATATAAAAAACATTATTTAAAAAAAAAAAAAAAGAATTATTTGAAAATTATTTAATGACTGAGAGCAGAAGATAAGCCAGTCTCAAGCACACACCATTTTTCCGATGTACACACAGCTGTGACAAACTACTGCAGTTAGTGCAATTACTCAATGAAGTATTGCACATTTTCCTGAGCTGTTACTTCATGGATATTATAGTTTATATAGTCACTGGCCTGCCCTAGTTGTGCTACACAGCAGTTGTCAATATAGATCTTTTTTATGCTGTACTATTTTTGTTCAATCAGATGTGCAGGATTTCAGAACTGTGAATGTGTCTAATAAGAAAGATGTCAGGTTTTTCCTGTTTCTTTATATATATATATATATATATATATATATATATATATAAAGAAACAGGAAAAACCTGACATCTTTCTTATTAGACACATTCACAGTTCTGAAATCCTGCACATCTGATTGAACAAAAATAGTACAGCATAAAAAAGATCTATATTGACAACTGCTGTGTAGCACAACTAGGGCAGGCCAGTGACTATATAAACTATAATATCCATGAAGTAACAGCTCAGGAAAATGTGCAATACTTCATTGAGTAATTGCACTGACTGCAGTAGTTTGTCACAGCTGTGTGTACATCGGAAAAATGGTGTGTGCTTGAGACTGGCTTATCTTCTGCTCTCAGTCAGAGCAGTCAACTTCTGGAGGAAACAGACTACAGGAGAAATGGCCATGGGGCGTTGAGTTGAGCGCTGCAGTCATGCACAGGCACTTTATCACAAGAGGTGACATTAGACACTACTGGAGCTGTCTGCTTAAAGCTTTGCCTTTTTTTTCACTGTTGCTGCTTGGCTGATTAAGATTTTACAGACAAGTTTACCTGTATTACTTTCAAGGTAAATAAACCGGAAGAGCCTCAGAATGCTAAAACTTTAAAATATTCAAGTTCCATATGTAAAATTCTTCCATTTTGTGCACTTCAATTTAATGCTCAATTGAAGACTTTAGATGCAAAACCTCTTAGATTTTTCTTTCAAATGAGCATTTTAATCGGGCTTCTTTATCCTGTATACTATGGAAGTCAATAGCTACCAGCAACTGTTTGGTTGCTTGCATTCTTCAAGATATTTTCTTTTGCACTAAACAGTAAAAATAAATTAATACAGGTTTGGAACAATTTGAGGGTGAGTAAATGATGACAGAATTTAAAGTTTTGGTTGCACTATTGCTTTAAGTGAAAACTTGCATATGAATTTCAAATTTTCTTCTTAAATCACTTAACAGTGTTAATATAAAGTGTAAATTTAGATCAGAGATCCCCAAACCAGGTCCCGTTGGCCAAAGTTGACCCATGATAACCTTTGATTTGGCCCACCATGCCATTTCACAAGAGGAAGGAAAAAATAGGGGGGAAAAACATGTAATTGAAGCATATCTTCATTTTTAATAAATATTTTTGTTTTACCATTTTCTTGCTTTTTTTTTTTGCATTGAAATGAAAAAAAAAAAAAAACAGGAACAATTTGAGGGTGAGTAAATGATGACAGAATTTAAAGTTTTGGTTGCACTATTGCTTTAAGTGAAAACTTGCATATGAATTTCAAATTTTCTTCTTAAATCACTTAACAGTGTTAATATAAAGTGTAAACAGCAATAAAGCAAAAATATTAAAGCTAACAGTAATCATTAACAACAAAACAAATTTCAGCTGCAAGTGAAAAGGTTTTTCCCTGTCGCCATCTGTGTAACTGTAAACACTGTGAAATGTGATATTGTAGTTGTGTTGTTGAATAGTAGGTCACAGAAGTTCATTTAGCAAAGAATATTGTGCTTCCTCCCCCAAGTTAACAGTACTTTATGTG